AGATTTGCCTCGGTTTCCAAACTGAGATCTATAGACTCGCCTAGTATGCTGGATTTCCTTCTATCCTGTGCTGATCGTAAGCTAGAGGTATGCAGCCTGTCAACTACACTTATAGCACCGGGATGCGTGGTGAGCCAATAGGCCCGTGATAAAAATGTTTAGTCATGTGGTCTATCTTCATTCCGTGTCTGTTAAATTTCCTCCTATCTTTATGCTCTACTGGGGCTTGAAAACATCTATCGGTGATCGGACTTCCGTTAATAGTTAGCTGCAAATCATGCTACGAAAGATGGATTTCAGTGTTCAGAGTTAATACCAAAGGAGTTTACTGTAGAAACGTAGGGACCTGGATGGCAACCTCCAGCCTCCTATTCCTCCTAATGTCGAGCTCTCGGCCAACTGGACCCTTGTTCCGGGATGACTACGGCATGAGGTTGCCTATGAATATACCTTGATTTTGATTGGTTGTTATGGTGCTGTTATGCGTTAGTGTTCCGACCCCCATCTCTTTGGCAGGACAGAAAACCACTGTCCAGCCTGAAACTTAGGATTGTTTTATGGACAAACACAGTATGACGAATACTGCAAGTAACCTGAGGGGCGTTCCCTGCTATTGCGTAGAATTTGTGCTAACCTTTTTGCCTTTGGCTCTGGTGAATGTGTGTCGTAGCCCTTGTTGGATCGGGGGTTCCCATCAGAGTCCAAACTGGTTGTAGTTGGAAGATGGAGAAAGGCCGAAACCTCAACCGACTCAAGCCAAAAGTCCACAGGGGGTGTGAGTTGGGTACCTGGCCGGGAACTGCAGGCGAAAAAATGCTGACAGTCATGCGGAAAGACGCCGCAATCGGGACAGCTGTCGGATGTAGAAGGGTCGAGCCGGTGTTGGTACTGGCGGAGGAGCATTGAGTAGCCATTGCGAGGTTGAGTCAACGTACAGCGAGTGACCCTCGGGAGTTGCATCGAGGCCGCAATCGGGGGTGGATAGTCGTCCAAAAGGACCGTGAGATAGTAACTTATTTTTGCTTCGACAACGGCTTCCCGGTGAAGACGCTGGAGGCCTGTCATGATGCTAGAGCCGTCAACGGGTAGATCTGAGAAACACGAGGCGACAGCTTCCTTGTGGAGAGCTCTAATGGACGGCCAAACTCTGCGGCTGGGTTCAAAAGCGTGGCAGCGGTGGCGATTAGGATGGCCGGGTTGCGAACAGGTCCACCAAAACTACTGACCGAAGCTTACGTTGTGAGGGGCGACTGACTGTACATAGGCCTCCGCGTAAAGATGATCGGTAGGTGACATTTTAAAGCAACCCGTGGTTGAGCGGAGGGCGGCGTTCTGTACTGTCTGAGGGCGGTGGAGGCTGGAAGAGCTGATCGTAGATCAGATTGGTGCCGCATAAGTGTGGTTTGGCTTAGCCAGCGCTTTGAATGTGGTCGTCAGAGTTTCTTTTGCGCAGCCCCAGGATGTGCCCGCTAGAGCCTTGGCTCTGGTCTGGCAAGCGGTCGAGAGCTGATCAGAAAATGATGACCCACCGACAGGCCTGGGTTAGTGTGAGTCAGCAGCGGTGGCGACATTGCCTGTAAATTGGAAATTGTTTATTTATTTAAGAGGAACGGTGCATGCTTACAGTGCTGCCAACTACGCAGCGCAAGTGGACAGTGCGCCGAAAAATCGGGTTGCCTAGGCGAGGTATTGTGCGCTTATCGACTTTAAGTTGCAGGGGCTGACGATTTGACCACTTCTCCAATTGATTTAGGTTGATCTGCAGTTTGCACCCGTCGGTAGGGCTCCAGATTACACGCGGGCTTTTCACATAGTCGGCAACCATTGCTGCTTCACGGTCCAAATCGCTGACTCAATCATCCGCACATATTAGGAAGAGAACGGATCCTCGTACTGAACCCTTGGGAACTCCACCCTCGACTTCTCTTGGCCAATGCACAGAACTGCGTGCCTACCCTCAAGGAAGTCAACAATCCATTTGAGAGTTACCTCTGATGTGACACATCTCTGGTGTGACAATTATAGAAAGCCTTTCGAGATTCAATGAAGGTGATGTGAGCAAATTGCTTATCCTCGGAGCTAAGGTCCGGTTCTGGAGAGATTGCAGCTCATTTGTCATACAGGATCCTCCATTTCGAAACCCGTCTTGGCATTTGTAGCAGGTTGTCCATGAAGAAAGAAGCGACGTCAAAGGATAACACTAGCTTATCCGCTGCATTTGTGAGTTTTTCTAATTGGTCCAGGGACTAAGAATTTCCTGAGGGAAGTTTTCTATTTCTTTCTCAGTGTATAGATTTTGCGAAACAGCCATCGAGGAATTTATTTTTTTGGGTGCACCGACTAGCAGCAGTATCGGTCGCAGTCGTACTTCAGGTTAGCGAACTCTACGTAACCCATAGTCGTTATCTGCTCAGATCTCTCCTGACAGTTGCTTCTTTACCGTAAGACGTTTTGGTACTTTATCTGTAACTAAAATCTATGCCCTCGTAGGGTCCATGGGAAGCTTTTTTATGTATTCTAAGAATAAGAGCGTAGAGAAGAAGATATGAACGCTGGAACAAAAATTTTATTCGCCTAACGTCTCGACATCCGTCGCGGTTTTCCATCAGACATCAGCAGAAAACAGTGCCAGCAACGGGCGAATGAAATTTTCTTTTCCCCAGTGATCTTATCTTCTTATCAATTACTTCCTGGGACTCGCATGTTCGCTTGGATTGACAATGAGAGCAAATTTATGCAGTACAGTGGATCTTCGGTTGGCAAGCAACTCCAACAAGCATTCCAGCGAGCCACTCGCAGATAATTCGTTTCGAATGACGAGCTTCCACTCAGTTAACGAGTTTTCATTGCACGTGTGTATCTGTGTCTGCTATTGAGGCCTGCCTCCAGGGCGTAGATCCTCGGTCGACTGCAGCCAATCAGTGAACTAATGCAATCTGACTGGCTACATTTCGCAAGCCGAGCGTTCCAGATGACTATCTCGGTGCTGGAACGGATTAAACTCGTTAACCGAAATTCCATTGTATTCCGATTTACGCAAAATCACAGCTGAACCTCCATTGTTCACAGCAAGAACGATAGTTTGTGTCAGTTAGCTGGGTCTTCGCCATTTCCTCTACT